CATTTATTTCAGAAGCATTTTAGCTGTAGAGCAGTGTAATATGCAGGACATAGTGCGTGGATTTGCAGCAGTGGGGCTCCCAAGCTGTGATGGGGTGACAAACAGCACACACATCCCTATATTGGTACCAGCTCACCTTGCAAGCAGATCACTAGGTACGCTTCACTGACATCAATGTGGGTGGGGGAAGTGTGTGGGGGGGGAGAAGTGCATGATGGTTGCATCTTTAAGAACAGGACTGTTCAGAAAGCTGCAAGCAGGGGCATTCTTTCCTGACTGTAAGATTACCATTTGCAATAATAAAATGTCAATAGTGATTCTGGGGGACCCAGCCTATCCCTTGTTCCACAGCTCATGAAGCCATACGCCAGCCACCTCAACAGCACCAACGAAAGATTCAGCTATCAGCACAACAGATGCAGAATGACCATTGAATGTGCTTTTTGTAGATTGAAGGGATGCTGGCATAAAATTGCATCTCAGTGAGAATAATATTCCAATGGTTATAGCTGCCTGTTGTGTCTTGCATAATATCTGCAAATGGGGGAAAAACTACCTCTGGCGTGGAGCAGCCAGACACAAAGGCAATTACAGAGCTGAACATGGAGCTACATGTTAATGGCTAGCTACAGTAATGTGCTGTACTAGAGTGTGCTCTGGCCCTGAGGTTTTGGGGGCTTTTAGGAATTCTATAAGCTAGTTATACATTTATAAATATTACACCATGTCTTTTGGTGAACCTGTGAATTATTAGGTGCTTGCTGTATGTATATAATGATTACACTGTGTGTTTTACTGAACCTGTGAGTTTTGTGATACTATACAGCTACAAGTAGTGTGTTTTGAGTACTGCTATACCTTCTGCCATATGAGTTACGAACTAATAAAGATGTTTGTTTTTAAAAAATATAAATTTATTGTGTAGTAAAAACTGTGCCAAAATCGAATGCTGAAATTAAAAAAACCTCAAGTTTGAACAGAAATTAAAGCATGAAACTTTAGAATTAGAAAGACAGAAAACATCCTGACCCTTTCATTGCACAAATGTAGTCCATTTTGTACTCCTGGGGGGATTCTGCACCAAAAAATTAAAATGTATGCACTAATATTTTAAAATTCTGCATATTTTATTTGTCAAAATAACAAGTACACCAGTTTCAATTATTTTTGGTCATTTATTTCAAAATACCTGTCAGCAAGTATGTCTATAACAATACAGACAACAAAAAAGATTTAGGAAATGTTTTTTGACAAATAGATTCCTTACTAGGCATATTAATACAGAACTCTGAATAATAATTCATTTAAACTACAATACTGAACCATATTTCCCACTCCCCTCAGAAGCAGTGCAAAGGCTTGGGGGAGTCAGGGGTAATGGAGGAGCTGAGGGAGAGGAAGTAAATTGCTGGGAAGGAGCCTAAGTATGAACTTGGAGGGTGGTTAGGTATGGGTGGGAAAGGTATGGAATGGATTGTTGGGGAGCTTCCCCCATGCAGACCCTGGCTGACCCCTAGCCCCACTCAGACATCCACTCTACACATCCCCATGTGGCCCTGCACCTCCTCCCCCTGTCCCCATGAATCTCTATACTACACCTCTGGTAGTAAAGTTAAGCAAATACATAAGTGTTTGCAGGATCTGGGCCTAAATGGACAAGATAAACAAAAGTGGGAAAATAAATAAATACAGAGAGGAGAAGAAACTTTCCCAATGTCACACAGTGGACCATTGGCAATAAAGTTTTATGAAAACTATTCTTTGAGTTGTATCTTATGTATCAGACAAACTGTAGGACAGTTGACATCTAGTACATTACAAAACCTGCCACTGAAAACCAGACCAACTTCCTAATTTTGTTCTTGCATTCCTAAAATTGTATGAAGAATTTTTTTTTACTCTTGACTGTATTATTTGATCAGAGACTTCACCTGTAAATGTTTAAGTGCAATAAAACTAAATAGTATATTTTCATATATTTTTATAGGTTTTACTGAAAACAACAGCTGGAGATATTGACATCGAGCTATGGTCAAAAGAAGCACCAAAAGCATGCAGAAATTTCATCCAGCTTTGTATGGAAGGTAATGATTGAGTTGGACAGTAGTTGTTGTTAATATTATTCAATGTACAGTATTGGTGACTTCTTACATATTATGCTTTTTCATAAAACAGGAATCAGAGGAATATTACACTAATGTCCACGGGAATTGACATTAAGATATAGTTACCAGTGTGTGGGAAAACTAGAAGCGTTGAGAAATGCAATGTTTTTCAAAGCTATCGAAAGAGACCTTAGACAAAGAATTTTAAAAAGCATTTTAAATATGTTTCTCAAATCCAATAGATATCAGGTTATTACTGAACTACAATACATGAGAGACTTAGGAGGACTTACTTTATGGGTATTTTGTAACATGTAACTATGTTCTTCAGTAAACTCATGAAATGATAGCCAAGGAGTCCAAGGAAGTCTGAAAAATTACTTTGTGCATCACCTTCCTTTCCCTGCTTATGGCTTCCTGTTTTCTTTCAAAAACATTTGGGAATTTTTAATACTTCATTGTACTGCCATTTCAGAGTGGTGGGAGCACTGTAATCCAGATAAAAGAAATGGGGTTTGGGAATTAAAGGATCTGCCTTGGGAAAACCACACCATGGGAGGATGAAGGCGCTCGTAGCTACACAGTATCTCCAGCTGGTGCCACTATGTATGTATGTATGTATCTTTTAAGGGTAAGGTACCTCAAGACCCCTTCTGATGTGTACCATTTCTTGAAGATATCCTCTTTTCAGGAGATTTTCACTCCTGTCTTGTGCCTCCAGCATAAATCAAGCCCATCATTTCTTGTAGAGCTAGAACATATCTGTTTGAAAGTCATTCAGTCCTGGTATAAAGTCTTCAAGTGATAGAGATTCCACTACATCCCTTGGTAAGTTGTTCCAATGGTCAGTTACCCTAAATATATATTTTTTTGAGTCTGAATTTGTCTAGTTTCCACTTCCAGCCATTGGATCTCATTATGTCATTGTCTGTCTCCTAAATTAAAGAGCTTTCTACTGTTGGAAATCTTCTTCCCTTGTAGGTACTTATAGATGATGATCAAGTCACCTCTCAGTCTTCTCTTGGATAATCTGAATGGATTGAGCTTCGTACCTTTCTAGTTGTAAGGCAAATTTTTCAGACCTCAAATCATTCTTGTAGCTGTTTTCTGAGCTCTTTCCAATTTGTCAATATTGTTTTTGAAACATAGACACCAGAACTGGACTCAGTACTCTACTAATGATCTCACTAATGCCATATGCGGAGGTAACACCAACTCCTACTTGATAATCCCCTGTTTATATAGACAAAGATCGCTTGAATCTTCTTAACAGCTGCATTGCAGTGGGAGCTCATGATTGTTTGGTTATCCACCATGATCTTGAAGTCCTTTTCAGTCGCTGTTTTCTGGACACAGTACTCCCCTGGATGGAGGACTGTATCTAGAGGCCTAAACCATGGGCCAAGGAGAAACCAATCCCTCATGAAACCATGCCCAGATGAGACTATTATAGCAGTGAATTCCACGTTTGTTGATGCTCCGAGCACTAAGAAGAGCACTGTGCTCCATGAGTTAAGGCAGTGACCCATGAAAAAGGTAATGTCTTTGTCTTTGTCTGTGCTTCAGAGATTGACATTCTTTTTCATGGGTCTTTGGTTTAGCTCAAGGAGCACAGTGCTTTCATCTGTCACGATTAACACCATCTTTATCCTCCTTGTCAGGTCTGCAACCCAAAAGTTATTTTTGATTCCCTCATCCCCATATTTATGCTTTGTCCAAATCCTTCCACTTCTTCCTCCATGGCTTCCTATCTGACCCTTCAACACTGTCTAGACATCAAAAGCTCTTGTCCACGTCTGAATCACATCCCATCTTGATTTACTCCCAGGCATCTCCTATGTTTCTGGCTTCATTCCCTTCCTATGATTTATATATGTTCTCCTCCCCAAGGAAACCCTCCATAGACCTACCTTTCTCCAGGCATCAAGTTCAGTTTTCTTGTCAGTTTCTTCATGTGCCTAAATAAATCTGTTCCTCCTTAGTTATCCACTCATCTCATTGTGTTGCTCCAATATGCTTTGCTAATTATGCCAGCTATGGATACTAGTTAGTCCTACAAATGCCTCCAGGTGTTCTTCCATACTGCTCTTTATAGATGGAATGCCTTCCTTGAAATCATCTGAAAGGCAAATACAATTCTCCTTTTAAGACCCACCAGTGCTGTGATGCTTACAAGAAAATAAGCAATTATTGATAGTTAGATTAATCGTTTTTAAGGCCAGCGGGACCATTATGATAATCTAATTTGACTTCTTCATTAACACAAGAGAAGGAACCTCACCTAGTGATTTCTGCATCAAGTCCATAACTTCTGTTTAAGCTATCTTTTAGACTGACAACCAGTCTATATATAAGAATATTTAGGTTCAGGGGCAGACGAGGATAGTTTTTGTTTTTTAAATTTTTGGGAAAAAACAACAACCCACCTTCTAAATGTTTTGGAATCATCAAGTTGTACCCTTATAGCTAGCCCATGTTGCTGCATGATTTTATTAGGTTTTTCATCTTCCTTCCCCCTCCTCTCCCTGGACCTCCTATTGTTTGTTTGTTTTGAATTTATCTCTTTAAGGCAACAACTGTCTTCCTATTTATTTCTTCAGCACCTTGAACAATGGGGCCTTTGAGCACTGCTAAAATATAAATAATGAGCGGGACTTCTCAAGAAACATAAATTGGCCAAATGCTACGAAGTAACAATTTTACACTGATAATTAATTTGAATATCTGATTTATGGCACCCAGTTTACAACACTATCCTAAACACACACAGTGCTGGAATAGTGTATAACTATGTCATAATTATGAGGCTTACTGGGAAGGGAGCAAAAGTTCATGTTTTATATGAGATTATTAGAGAGAGAGTAAAGTTTGTTTTCAGTAGTCAGAATAATAACATTACCAATATGGTGAAAAAATGTTTGAAATATGTGAAGACTTCTTGAACTTGGAGTATTTTAAATGGAAATATCTCTGTCTACAGTATAAAATTTGTAAGTCATCCATTGTCTTAAAATATCATATTTCTTTAATTGACTTGCTACATATGTCAAGCAGAGTTAAATTTTCACCTCCCAGAAGCTGTTTTGATTTCCCTATAATAAAACCAAGAAGCACAATAGACTCAGTATTTCAGAGTCTGATTGGAGCACCATATAAGGTGAAACTGATGAATACTTGTCAGTGTTGGCGTGTATCCAATACCATTGTTTGGCCATACTAAATTAAAGATGCATATGGAAAGCTTTGGCCATAGAGAGGGAAGAAATGAATGAAAGGAGGAGAGTAGAGCCCTATTCTGTCAATTTAAGAATTTTTATACTCTTAACAGCTGATCTATTACGGCAGGGTGGCCGTTAATTTAGCAATATTGGCAACATGCCTTCTCATGTTCTTGTTTTATTTTTTTTAACACAGCTGTCTTTATTTCCGGTCACTTATGTGATAGTGGTGTTATACTTATTTTCTTGAACACTTGATAACTGACAATAAGAAAATATTTGCATGGAAAAACCCAGCCTTGTGACAAATAATGTGGAGTAGGCAGTTTATTTTTTCTCACATTTATTGATATAGCTTGTATGTAGATTTTAGCTCCATTAATCCACATAAACTAATCTTCAGGTTAGGAAATTAAGAATTACCCCACAACTTTGATTATGTGGTGATTGGTGGAAATATAGTGCTAGAACATTCCTACTATTTTAAGCTCCTGATGATTATATTAGAGCAGAAGTCTAAAAAATAAGGAGATACTGTAGAATAAACACAGACACATTGGACTTAATTCTCCTTTTATGTTGATCTTCGTCAATAATAACGCAAAGTCCTTGGTAAAAGGAGTTATATGGGACAGGAGAACCGGTTCTATTAAGACTATCTGGGAGATGGCTTCTTTTATTTCTAGCTTTTATCTACCAATATTATCCTTTCAGTGACATGCAATGCCTTCAAGTGTACTGCAAAACAGCAAACTGTTCTGTATTGTATATTAGTGTGTTTAATTTTGACACCGTTGTCTTGAAAATTTTAAGATGTTTACCTGATCACACATCTTTTGGTACTTCCCATTTCATATAAATGGAATATTTTAACATTGAAAATTGAAACAGAAGTTGAAAATCAACAAAATACCAGTCTCTGAGTCAAAGCTCAAGTTCTAACTTCTGTACACATAATAATAATACCTACCCTTAGATCTCAAAGCACTTTATAAATGTGGTCAGTATCACTATTATCAGATGGGAGAAACTGAGACACAGGGCAGCAAAGTGACTTACCCAGCAGGCTAGTTGTAGAGCCAGAAATAGGTTCCCTGAGTCCCACTCTAGTGTTGTAGCCACAAGGCCACATTGCTTACACTATAAGTGTACTTTTAGAATAATTTAAAAATATCTGTAGTAAATATTCTTTTTCTTTGCAGGTTATTATGACAACACAATATTTCACAGAGTTGTGCCTGATTTTATAGTGCAAGGGGGAGATCCCACTGGTACTGGATCAGGTGGAGAGTCGATCTACGGGCTCCCCTTCAAGGTAGGTGTCTGTATAGCTTGTTTTTTAATTACTGTATATTCATTTGCAAGTGACTTTACTAATAGGAGAGATTGCTAAAACAAAGCTCACATAATAAATTAATCTTTTCTCTTGTACAGTGATTGCTTGCACATCTTGTGTCTCCATTTTTGCATGTGCATTTTTGCATGCACAGTTCCAAAATCTGTCTGTATTGTACCCAGGGTACTAATACAATGTGTTAGCCTATTAGCAAAAACTGCATGAGGAAAAGTGAAAATAGGGTACAGTAAGAGGACATGAAGAAAAGAGGAATCAAAAGGGTGAAATAAGGGTAAAATTGGGTGAGTTAATTAAATGTAAAAATATCACTGAAGTGATTTCAATGTTGTTCCTACTAGGTATTCAGTAGAGCAAAAAGAGATCAGAAAGCACCAGGTAAACTTGTGTGGAATATTACAATAAAAGGCGAGTCAGCAGCTTTCAAATATCTTCATCTTCTCTTGCCCAGATTGCAGTTACTGAATAATGCTTTCCAACACTTGTCATACTAGTATTCTGGCAGCAGCAAATATTCAAAAGTATGAACAGATATTTGCACGTGCCAAACTTAGATACAGAAATGCTCTTATACTCGTGCAAGTTTAGATCTAATGTTTACAGGTCCATGAACAGCCCTGTCTTAAACATATGTTCACTGGGGTGTTTTCACACACAAGTTAGAAATCATAGAAATATAGGCCTGGAAGGGATCGCAAGAGGTCTTCTAGTCCATTGCCCCCACACTGAGGCTAGACCAAGTTGGGCATGTGTAACTCTTCAGTGTAGTTTAGTATATTTCTCAAATTTGACACCCGGTCTCTTAATATTCATATTCTTCATATGTTAGAAGGTACCTTTAAAAACAGACTTCCCCTTTGTAGATGTTCTTCTGTTTTTATCTCGCTTAAGCATTGCATTGAAACAGAGGGTGCTCTAGATATATGAAATTGTGCCAGAGAGAGGTTTTGTTGTATGATTTTGTGATCTGTTAGACAACACTGAAGTGATTAATGCTATATGTTCAATTATTTTATCACGAGGAATGTTTATAGGCAAGGCCCTCAATACATTAGAAGCAAGAGGAAGACCAAAGATAGGGTAGGCCCACTGCTCAGTGAAGAGGGAGAAACAGTAACAGGAAACTTGGAAATGGCAGAGATGCTTAATGACTTCTTTGTTTCGGTCTTCACCGAGAAGTCTGAAGGAATGCCTAACATAGTGAATGCTAATGGGAAGGGGGTAGGTTTAGCAGATAAAATAACAAAAGAACAAATTAAAAATCACTTAGAAAAGTTAGATGCCTGCAAGTCACCAGGGCCTGATGAAATGCATCCTAGAATACTCAAGGAGCTAATAGAGGAGGTATCTGAGCCTCTAGCTATTATCTTTGGAAAATCATGGGAGACGAGAGAGATTCCAGAAGACTGGAAAAGGGCAAATATAGTGCCCATCTACAAAAAGGTAAATAAAAACAACCCAGGAAACTACAGACCAGTTAGTTTAACTTCTGTGCCAGGGAAGATAATGGAGCAAGTAATTAAGGAAATCATCTGCAAACACTTGGAAGGTGGCAAGGTGATAAGGAATAGCATGGATTTGTAAAGAACAAATCGTGTCAAACTAATTTGATAGCTTTCTTTGATAGGATAACGAGACTTGTGGATAAGGGAGAAGCTGTGGGTGTGGTATACCTAGACTTTGTAAGGCATTTGACACTGTCTCGCATGATATTCTTATCGATAAACTAGGCAAATACAATTTAGATGGGGCTACTATAAGGTGGGTGCATAACTGGCTGGATAACCGTACTCAGAGAGTTGTTATTAATGTTTGCCAGTCCTGCTGGAAAGGCATAACAAGTGGGGTTCCGCAGGGGTCTGTTTTGGGACCGGCTCTGTTCAATATCTTCATTAACGACTTAGATATTGGCATAGAAAGTATGCTTATTAAGTTTGCGGATGATACCAAACTGGGAGGGATTGCACTTTGGAGGACAGGGTCATAATTCAAAATGATCTGGACAAATTGGAGAAATGGTCTGAGTTAAACAGGATGAAGTTTAACAAAGACAAATGCAAAGTGCTCCACTTAGGAAGGAACAATCAGTTTCACACATACAGAATGGGAAGAGACTGTCTAGGAAGGAGTACGGCAGAAAGGGATCTAGGGGTTATAGTGGACAACAAGCTAAATGAGTCAACAGTGTGATGCTGTTGCAAAAAAAGCAAACGTGATTCTGGGATGGATTAGCAGGTGTGTTGTGAGCAAGACACGAGAAGTCATTCTTCCGCTCTACTCTGCTCTGGTTAGGCCTCAGCTGGAGTATTGTGTCCCGTTCTGGGCACCACATTTCAAGAAAGATGTGGAGAAATTGAAGAGGGTCCAGAGAAGAGCAACAAGAATGATTAAAGGTCTAGAGAACATGACCTATGAAGGAAGGCTGAAAGAATTGGGTTTGTTTAGTTTGGAAAAGAGAAGACAGAGGGGACATGATAGCAGTTTTCAGGTATCTAAAAGGGTGTCATAAGGAGGAGGGAGAAAATTTGTTAACCTTAGCCTCTAAGGATAGAACAAGAAGCAATGGGCTTAAACTGTGGCAAGGGAGGTTTAGGTTGGACATTAGGAAAAAGTTCCTAACTGTCAGGGTGGTTAAACACTGGAATAAATTGCCTAGGGAGATTGTGGAATCTCCATCTCTGGAGATATTTAAGAGTAGGTTAGATAAATGTCTATCAAAGATGGTCTAGGCAGTATTTGGTCCTACCATGCGGGCAGGGGACTGGACTCGATGGCCTCTCGAGGTCCCTTCCAGTTCTAGAATCTATGAATCTATGTGTAAACCTGCATTGCTCTTTTAAACCCAGGACTCCAGTTCTTTTCTAACCTCAGGCTTCAAAGGAGATAGTTTCTCTTCTTGATTGCATGAACAAATAGATTTTTACTACTAAACAGGGAACACATGTGATCAGTTGGCCAGACTTTTTTTTTTTCCAAGTTAATAAATTTTTTGCGTGCTAACTCTGCATACAGTATTTTTTTGGAAATGATTCAGTTGCATAAAGTGAGTTTCAAGCTTTGTGTCCAACAAGGGCTACCACATGGAATCAGGGCTGAGCAGGATATTGTTACTGAGATGCCTCTGTGGTAGTTCAACAATGCAGCCACATTATTGGACAGATCTCCATGTGGTAGTGATTTCTTCCCATTCTGGTCTGTGATGGGGTTTACAGACCACACAAAGGCTAAGGTAGTGAGGGACCAGTCCCGGCAAGAGGACCCTGCCCCTCTGCAGCTGCAGAGCATGCTCCAAATAGAGAACCTACTTAAAAGGGGACTCTGACAGTCAAGCAGCTGTGGAGGGAGATTGAAGGCAAGGCTGTCTGGAGAGAGGAAGCCAGTTTCCAACCTCTGGGACAGAGTGGTCCAAAGGTCTGGACTGTGGGTAAGACCCAACTGGGAAGCCAGGGGTTTGACCCTTCTCTCCCCTAGAAGGGAGAATAACTGGACATTGAGAAGTGAGCTGGGAAGTACCCATTTGACTATTTAGGTTGTTGAGGCTGATTGGGAACTCTCTGCTAGGGAGGGGCAGAGTGCTGTAACCATGCCCCAGATTGGGGAGGTAGGAAGTAGCCCAGGGGAAGCTGGTCTGGTGTATCAGCGAGAGGGGACTTAGACATCCTTGCACCTTTCCCTTTGGTCCCTGGCCTAGACCTGGTTGAGAGGGAGGGCCCGGGTCCCCTATCTTCCCCTCCTCCTATTTGGCTGGGAAAACCCAGAGAGAACTGGGCAACGCTGGACTGTAACTCGGATGCCAGGCCCGTGGGCTGTCCAGCAAGGCCCTCCTAGGACTTTGGGGACTTTTGAGCCACGGCTTCCCAGTCCATAAGTGGAGCCCTCTACATGATCACGCAAATAGAAGAAAAATAGCCCCTTTGCAGGGTCCCAGTGCTTCTGCCACCCTTGTAGTTGCACACAGATCCATTCCTGTCTCCCAGTTCAGCCTTATAAGACTCGGTCACAAAAAACAGTAGCTTCATACCCCTTCCCTACCCTTGGTCTTAGGGTGCATCTGTAAATCATGATCATGTAGTGAGTCATGTGTGGGTGGGCCCCTAGCTTATGCAGAGCCCACATTGAAATGTGAGAGGGGGATGAGTGGTCTCATTTTCCTTCTACCAGGATTGATGGTTTGAATCTGATATTCTATTCTCTCTATAATTTTGAGGACCCAAAATGATTTCTCTCACAAGAAATGACCTGAGAAGCAGTTGTCACAGAAGGCTTTAAATACAGGGTTTTCTTCTTTCAGACTGTTCTTAGTATTGGGGAAGTTTGCCTGCTTGTGTGTGCTTAGTTTTTCTTTTTGTAATGCTAGTTCTATGTGCACTTATGTAAATCACAAGCACCTATTTTTGCACCATCTTTACATTTCCAGGATCTTTGTGTATAGTCAGGGTCTCCCTGGTTCTGTAAAGTTAGTACTTCACATAACAGAATATCGATCTCTATACTAAACCATCTTCCTTTTTACTTTGAAGGATGAATTCCACTCACGATTGCGTTTTAATCGAAGAGGACTGGTTGCTATGGCAAATGCTGGAGCTCATGATAATGGCAGTCAGTTTTTCTTTACCCTGGGCCGTGCAGATGAACTTAACAACAAGCACACCATTTTTGGAAAGGTTCGCTATAGAGTTATGACTTGAATAATGGTTTTGACAGAGACAATTAAATGTAGTTCTAAATTCAGAGAATGTTTTCGTATTATCTTAGTACTTCACACAGCTCAAATGCGTTTTTGCTACTTTCAAAGTTATTTTAGTGTTTAAGAACATCTCTGTTTTTGTCTGTCTCCATGCCTGACATTGATCTCAATTGGTAGTTTCCCTTAATAGTTAATTTTCCATTGCTTTTCTACTAAATTGAACCTTTACGATACACTTTTTCAGAGTAATCTAATAAAATTAAAAGTGCCGAATGTTGCATATACACTGTTTTTCTACTGTTAATAAAATATTAATTTAGAAATACAATTAGAATATCATTATTCAAGAGCAACCCAAACAAATGAAAGCAATAAAATGATGATGGTTTCAAGGAAATGTGGAAATTGTCAAGTAGGTTAGCTCTGTAGTCTACAGAATTTTTTTAGTTTTATTTTCAATTCACAGCTCCCATCACTAACTTTTGTGGCAGTTAAATAGTTCTTAAACACAGAATCGGGTTGCTAAAGACGAGAGTCTTGTTGCATTTAAAATATCTGTAGCCATATGTAATCTAAATTTAGATATCCCTCTTTCATATATTCAAAATTATTTGCATAACTATTTCCTTAAATTTTGCAGAATAATTCACAAGCAATCTGAAAATTGATAGGCTTTGAAATAACTAACTTTAAAAAAACTTTTGTGAATTTGCTAGATTACTGGGGATACCATATACAATATGTTACGACTGACTGAAGTAGAAATTGACAAAGAAGAAAGACCACTCAATCCACACAAAATAAAAAGTAGTGAGGTATGTATGCAGTTAATTAAAATATTCTATTTTTTTTCTTTGTCTTCAAACAATTATATTCTAGTAGGATGTACTGGCATTAATTTATCTGAGTGGGTTATATATTATTGCTGAAAAAATAAATTTCAAAATAGTGTATTTTTTAAAACAAATCTTATTTTTTAAAGACGTAAGCATTCTAAATGACAGCAAAATGCTTATTAAATATTTTTTATACAAATATTTAACTTTTTCCTTAGGTTTTGTTTAATCCTTTTGATGACATCATTCCAAGAACAAATAAAAAGCTGAAAAAGGACAAACCAGGGGAAGAAGTAAAAAAGTCAAAATCCAAAGGCACAAAGTAATTATACTTCATACGTGGGCTTTTCTTTAATTTTATATAGCTCTAATTATAAAATTATTTCAGTCTTGTTCTATGATATGCTAGTGCCCTTGTATAGTACCTTGTATAGTAAATGTGGTACCTGATTTTTTTCAAGATGGGAGTGCATAAAAACTGTGTTAATAGTTTAAGCAATTTGTCCCTTTTCCTTTATTTCTTAATGCTGAATATTATAGTTGGTAAAAAGATTGTTTACATACAGTTGCAGGTATAAGATTTCAGCATTATATATGCCAAATTACAGTTAAAAAAAAAACTGTTTAAAGAATAGTAAGGTTGCAAAGTGAAGCAGTTATAAATTAAGAAATGCCAGAATAAAGGGTGCATTTGCAACCTTAATATGGGCCCCTAGTATGTATGCATCATGATACAGTCTCTGGTTTCATTATTATATACTACTTTGTCCAAGACACTGTCACTTCATTCTGTGCATCAGACTGATTATGTTCTCAGAATGAATCAATACTCTCGTGAGTGACAAAGTTTTCTGTAGGACTCCATATTTGGTGCAGGAATAGGAAAGCGTATAGTTAATAAGGGAAGGGATTGCAAGCAAAATGGTTTTATGGTCAAGGAAATTGAATTCCATTCTGGAGAATTGGATTCTATCCCTGCCTCTGCCACACAGTTCCTTTGTGATGTTGGGAAAGTCATTTAAACTAAAATATTCATAATTGGCCACTAATTATGTGTTTCTTATTTTCTGGATGTCAAGTGGGAGACATTTGGTGTCAAATTTGCAGAAGTGTAGAGTACTCACATCTGCAACTGAAGTTTGGGAGATGTGTTTTGAATATATAAAGTGCTATAAAAATGCTAGGTACTCTGGAAAGATCAGTCCTTCAGCGTCTCAAGTTTAGCACCCAAAATTAGTGGACACTTTTTTGACAATTTTAGCCTTAATATCTTTTTGCCTTGGTTCCCCAACTGTAAAATGGGATAATACCATCACCTAATCTCATAGAATTGTGTATTGATAAATTCATTAATATTTGTGAAGCACTAAGATACTACAGTAGGAGTACCATATCAACATCGAAGAGAAAATTAATAGTTTTGTATTCAGTGCAGGGTTTGGATGGTGGGTATTAAAAAAGGTCTGTGGCCTGTTATCCTCTGTGTAGATCAGGTGCTTTGGAGGGGGATGACACACACACAATTTGACATTGAGTTTCACATCTATTTGCAGACAGAGAAATGTAGAGATCCAGGACTCCTGGTTTGGATTCAATTCCAGGTTCTGGAGGGGGGTGTGGTGTAGTGGTGTTAGATTCCTTTTGCTGTTGTGACTGGCCTGTTTCTGTCCCCCTCTCCTCCTGTCCTGTGTTCCGATCCCAGCACCTGCTTGCCTCTCCCTCAGATCCTAACCATTTCCCTGACTAGTTCCCCTCCCCCCCTCCCCCATGCTTGCTCCTGTCACCTGTCTTCCCCTCTGACTCCTGTTATCCCTCTGTTCTTCTTTGAGTAGTGTCTTGTGGGTGCTCCACTTCAGGTGCGCAAGCTCCCCCTACACCTGTGATCAGAGATTTTTGGTAGAAGTGCCTGTTTGGCCGGCTCATGCACCCTACACATCGCTGTGCCTCGTAGTTAGGTTATATTGGGCTGCATGGGCGAATCGCCATCAATTCATTCTCAGCTGCCTTCACCCTGAGATGAAGCGTTTAGCATGCCCTCTTAGTTTCACTTAGCATACTTAGTTAGTTCAGTATACGTAGTTTAGTTTAGACATGTTGTTCTTCCCCATTTGAGGGATGATTTTGGACTTGGTTTTTTGTTTCTGGGATATGGTGGGGTCCCCACACTTTAAGTGTTGTTTTTCATGCTGGAAACTAAGCCAATTAGTATGGACAATCTGTGTCTCTGGTGTGTGGGAGACACCCATATACCATCAAAGAGTAAGATCTGTTCTTCATTCAAGAGCAGATCTAGAAAAAACAGGGAGATAAAGTACAAGCTTCTCATGATGGAATTAATCCTGAGACCAACTTTTGACCTGGATTTCAAGAACCCCTGTACATAGTGCCCTGTCTACCTCCGGATTCTGATCACCAAGAGACTCAGTCACTGAGAGCCCGGGAGATCCAGCATTGTCACTCGTCACAGCAGTACCAAAAGTCCCACACTCTTAAGTCTACAGATACTGGCAGGAGTTCTAGATCTCCTTCCAGGAAGTCTTGGTCACTGGGGACCTCAGGCCCCAAAGGGACCGCTACTGAGGCTCCAAGTTCTTCTGGTACCACAAAGAAGGAACCTGCTTCCAAGAGCCATGATACTACTAAGAAAGGCACAATACTGAATACCTCTTCTGCTTCCAGTGACCATGCCCATTTTAGTGGACATTCCACTTTAAAGAGGTTTGTGTCATCAGATCCTTCTGTACCTATCCCAGTGCCTCAGACCTTTTTCCTCTAAGTCAGGACATTCTTGTTCTGTGCACACAGGACTGGCTGCACCGACTCATATTACCAATGTACCTACCTCAGTACCAGTGCTGACTTCTACAGGACTCTGCATGGCTCCTGCTTATTTTCCCCTGCTACAGCAGGAATTTCAATACTCAAGAGTCGTCCTGGTATTGAAGGAGCCAGCACCTCCATTACTTACGAGGACCACACATCTCTCCCTACCAAAGTCTACTGGGTTACTGTCTCAACACTTCTTTTCTTGCTTCTACGACTTTGACCACCCAGATTGAACAATTATCACTTCCCCTGCACTATGCTGAGGATCTTTCTTTACAGATCTCCTGTCTACTCTGAGTCATTATTCTCCTTCACATACAGAAAAAGGGGAGGATAGGCAACACTGACCTTTGACCACCTGGGGTGATCAAACATGGATGCCTCCTCTCATGCCCTGTGCTCCCTCTCAGTGACTTCACTAGGATCCTTAGGCCCTGTATTGATAACAATTGTTAAGGGCACTGAGTCCTCGCAGGAAACAGACACACATTCTCTTGTGCCTTCACTTCCTCCTCTCCAGCCAAAACCCGGAGAGGAGACGTTTGAGGAAAAAGAAGCAAGAGCTGACAAAGCGGTTACATCTCCTACATATATCTCTTCATTATTGCCAGATGAGGTAGTAATGCCTCTACCACAGTCCTTGGCAGATGTGTTTAGATATTTCCAGAAGCTGATGAAGTATATCGCAGATACTTTTCAGATCCTGCTTGAGGAAGCCCAGGACTCCCATCATAAACTGGACATTTTACACACACCAGCTTCTCATGTGGTACTCCCTATTAATGAAGCTTTACTAGAGCCTGCCAAGACAATCTGGCAGACTCCAGCTATGCCCCATGCACACACTTGTAAAAGTGCCAACCAAAAATACTGTGTGCCAGCCAAGGATTCAGAGTTCTTATTCTCACATCCAACACCAAATTCACTGGTCATGGATGCATTGAATGTATGTGGTAGACAACACAATATGAAATCTACTCCCTATAACAAGGACCAGAAGTGACTAGATCTATTCGATTGCAGGAGTTATTCCTCCACAGTGCTACGGTTCAGAATAGCAAACCATCAAGCGCTCATGTCAGAATATGACTATTTGAATTATAACAAGTTTAACACTTTTATTGACCATTTGCAAGAAGAGCACCACAAGCAATTTAAGGCTATCATACATGAGGGTCAGCTTTTACCAAAGACATTGTTGCAAACCTCCATAGATGCAGTTGATACAACAGCCTGGTCCATTTCTGCTGTGATTGTTATGGGGTGAGCTTCTTGGCTACAGTTGTCAGGCTTTCCTAGGGAGATACAGAGCACTGTTGAGGACTTCCCTTTTGATGGTCACACATTGTTTTTTTGGAGTCCACTGATGATTGCCTTCACACTTTGAAGGACTCAGTGGCCACACTTAGATCCCTTGGAATATACACACTTGCAAATAAAAGAAAATTTAGCAGGTTCCAAACATCACAAAGATCTCGCCCAACTCACTTCTCTATTTTCTGTAGATCAACTGACGCTCTGACCAAGAGGCTGAGATATGCCAAGAAAAAGCCTGCTATTACCTCTTCTTCATTTTAGCCATCTGAGAAATCCAAGCATTAGCTTTGATGGCTTCATCAAGAGTCTGAACCACCTGCTCCAAATAAATCTGACTCTGCAATGTTCCATCCTCCTTCCCCACTTTGGATACCCCCCCTTTTCGCCATTTGGATCTGCATAGGAGACACTAACGTTCAACCCAGGGGGTATGGGGATTGTACCATCTTGGTTATTCCATCTATTTCACCTCCCATCCCCTTTTCCTGTCTCTTTTCAGAGACCCATCTCACGATCAGTTGCTGAGTCAGGAGGTTGCTTCTCTCCTATGCTTAGGGGCTATAGAACCACTTCCAGTTCAGCACGGGAGGAAAGGTTCTGTTCCAAATATTATCTGGTCCCCAAAAAGAATGGAGGATGGAGATCAATATTAAATTGCAGATGTCTCAACAACTGCATGAAATAACGTAAATTCAGGATGGTGACTCCTACAGCTATTATTCCCTCTCTAGATATCAGGGATTGGTTTGTGACTGTCTACCTTTGACACTTATTTCCACATTGCAATTCACCCCCTCACAAGAAGTTTCTTTGATTTATAGTCAACCACAACCACTTGCAATACCAAGTGCTTCCTTTTGGCCTCTCCTCTGCCCCAAACATATTCTCAAAGGTCATGGCAGTCCAAGCTGCTCATCTACATTGTGTAGGCATAATTGTCTTCCTTTTTCTCAATGATTAGCCACTCAGGGACTGATCATATCACAAGGTCCATTGGCAGTACAAATGATGAGGTCTTTGTTTCATACCTGAGACCTCCAGATTAACCATGAAAAGTCTGTTTTGATCTTGGTTCAATGGACAGATTTTATATGAGCCTCGACAGGTTTGCGAATCTGCAGAATCTTAGTACAAAGATTCAATTAAGCCCTCAGACTTCAGCAAGGAATTGTCTTCAGTTGTTGGGCCATATGGTGGAGTGTGTCTTCATGAACCAACATGCCAGATTACATCTTCAGGATTTCCAGGAATAGCTCAGGACAGTCTACATACCAAACAAGCACAGACTTGACAAATAAGTCTCTCTTCCCCTTTGGGTTCTGGACTTGCTCAATTGGTGGAAGAACTCCTCCAAAGTCTGTGTGGGGAGTTCTCTTCTTTCAACCTCCTCTGACTACCGTTATCACTTCCGACAGATCCCTTTTGGGATGGGGAGTGGATCTCAGTCCTCACACCATCCAGGGCAAATGGTCTTTCTAAGAGTCTCCTGCATATCAACATTCAGGAGTTGAGGGCAGTCAGGAATGCTTGCTCCCATTTTCTTTCACTGAACAAAGCCAAATTAGTCAAGATCATGACAGACATTGTGTCCTGCATGTTTTATATCACTCGACAGAGGGGAGCACACTCCCCCCCGACTCTGTGCCAAGGAGACAAAGCTCTGAAATTAGCATGTAACCAACATGATAGCATCTCAGCCTCTTACCTCTCGGGTATACAGAACATCACAGCCGACCACCTTCGCAGACGCTTCTCTAAGAGTTATGACTGGAAGTTGGATTCACAAATCCTCCACAGCACATTTCTAACCTAGGGGTTTCCAGAAGTGGAACTTTTTGCCACTGCTGCCAATGCAAAGTGCAGGAAGTTTTACTCTGGGGGGGAGGAGGGGAGAGATTCGTGTCTTGGTCACTGGGAAATGACTTTTTTATTCCATGGGCCAGGAGTCGTCTTTATTCTTGTCCACCAGTGCCATTGATCTTGAAAGTTCTCAACAAGATCAAGCAGGACAAGGATTAGGTCATTTGATTGCACTGACTTGGCCAAGGTAGATTGGTACCCTTACCAGTTCATTTCACTTCTCATCCACTGCTGAGACTTCCAGTTGGTTGCCACCTGTTATCTCAGGGGGCTGGTCGCCGACCACTTCACCGGCCAATTTGGAAGTTATGTGACCTCAAGCAAGGCTCGTAGATGGTTCTCGGGATAGAGACTTCCCACTTAACAGAGATACAACAGGTTTTGTTAAACAGCAGAAAAACATCTACAAGAAGTAGAAATTTCACCTATGGTGTATCTGTCGGCAAGTATCTCTTGACCACGCTTCTCTTTCCACAACCCTGGATTATCTGTTAGAATTAAAAAGATCAGGTATTGTTATGAGTTCTGTCAAGGTTCACTTGGCAGCAATAACAGCCTTTCATTAGTCTGTGGAAGATTTTTCACCACAACTTCAAGATTTCTTAAAGATTTGAATCGTTATCTATAGGTTAAGGAACAGACCCCGGTATGGGACTTGAATGTGTCCTTAATTGCCTTATGACACACCCCTTTTAGCCATTAGCTAAATATTTGCTAGTCCACTGGCTCATGAAAACCGCTTTCTTGGTTGCCTTCACTTCTACACAGAGAGTGGGAGAATTGAGGGTTTTAATGGCAGATCTCCCCTGCCCCACAGAGTTCTTCAAGGAACAGGTTTCGTTACGGTCACATCCCAAGTTTCTACTCAGTGTCCTCTGAGTTTCACCTTAATCAGACCATTCATTTACCATTCCCCCCAAATCACATCACTCCAAACAGAAAGCTGCTTTCCGTGTCTGGGATGCCAGAAGGGCATTAGCCTTCTATCTAGAAGGACCAACTATTTTGAAAGTCTCCCAGACTGTTTTGATTGTGGACAGATCTAAAGGATCCACAGGCTTCACCCAAAGTCTCTTGTGGTGGATCTCTGCGTGTATTATTTCATATTATGACTCTGCCAACATTCTAAGGTGCCAGCCCATTCTACAATGTTGCAATCTATGTCTATGGCATTACTAAAGGATGCTCCAGTTGCTGACATTTGCAGAGCTGAAACCTGGATTTCAATACGTACTTTGGTTCATGTCCCTAGATCAGATGTGGCAGTTGGCAGTCCAGTTCTGTCTTCAGTATTGGGTTCTGCTCTGAAGATCCTTCCTTCCTCTGGCGATACTGCTCAGGAGTCACCTGAAGTGGAGAACACATGGGGACGTTACTTGAAGAAGGAGAGGGTACTCACCTTGTGCAATAACTGGGGTTCTTCAAGATGTCTGTCCCTATGGGTGCTCCATTAGCTGCCTGCCTTCTCCCTAGTGGGACTTTGTGGTAGATAAGGAACTGAGGATGGTTCACCCACCTAGTAGGGCACATGTGTGGGCCAAACAGGCACTGCTATCGAGAAAATCTGATGAAAGGCCCAGAGGGTGCATGTGCACCTAAAGTAGAGCACCCATAGGGGGACACATCTTGAACTCCAATTACTGCTCAAGGTGAGTAACCCTCTCCTTCCTCCCCACCCTCTTTTCCTTCTCTTGTTTCTATCAGTTGGCTTCTCCTCCTAGATGCCTAGGTACGAGCAGTCTCCCTGCTCTCAGTTCCTGTGCCTTGCACCACATTGGCCTCTTGGAGCCAGGAGGAGAAACTGTGTAAACTGCAGTCTTTTCAGAGGCATATAACTTGGCTAAAATTGGGTGAGTTTCTGTGAGGACGGCAAAAGGCTCACTCTTGACACTGGGACAACCAACCCCCTGTTATATTTCTAGCTCCTTCTTTAAAGCAAGAAGTGCTAGAGCCTCTCAGTAAAA